AGCTATCCCTGACATTCACAGAGACATCATAAGACATTGTTGACTATCATAAGCTTTTGGTGCTGACACATGATCGAGACCTGCTTATGACAGATTGGCAGCCATATATATATATAGAATGGAATATGAGTTAAGTCACTGAGTAGCTGCAGGGTTTTGCACTGACTTCCCTTTACTCATCTATACAAATATGATTCCTTCTTACACTCTAGAGTAAGAAGAAAGTTAGAAAACTGTTGTCTCATGGAAGGTCATCTTCCATGACCTTTGAAGCAGCAGCTTTATCTGATGACAATCTTTCATGCATTGAACAACCCTGCCTTTTTCAGAAAATCATGTCATGACTTCCCATTCCCCTGGGAGGTGGCACAAACTCCCACCACAATGATGTTCTCAAGCACCAGGGACAAAGCAACCGTGGACTGAACCCTCCGAAACTTTATGTACTCTCTGAATGATTCAAAAGATTCCTCTTTTGAAATTCAATGGATTTCTGAGCTCTAAAGCTGTGTTTCTTGGGGCAAGATGTAGAATTGTGTGTGAAACATCTATCAAACAAACACTAATGAGCATAAGAAACTGGAGGAAATGTTAGAGGAACAAAAATAACAAGCTTGATTCTTCTTCCTTTGAAGAGTGTCCAGGCTAATGGATGGGAAAATTTTTGCTGAGAATTAAACATGGGCCCTCATGAATGAGAATCAAGCACTCACTCTTGCACTTTGTCCCCATTCATATAAAGAATTTAAATTCATCAGCTGCTCTGCATGGAACTTATCTTGGTAATGAGGGAATTTCGAACAGAGTCCTGGATACAGAAGCCACAATGTAGGGTTCAAAAAACATCTAAGAAGAAAGTGAAGCAAGTCATTGTAACTTACTAGATTAACCTTTGTTGGGGAAACAGAGAATTTAAGGGAGAAACAAGTCCAAAAAAATGTATGTATGGATGTTTGGAATAGTTGAAGCCTTTTTAAATATGGCAGGCTTGAGCTTATTGGCAGTTCAGGAAGAAGTCAGTTTTTCTTGATATCTAGAAGCAGCCATAACATGTAAATGGAGGACAGAGGAAATAAAGTATAGTAATATGTAGTTCATAGTGTGAAGGGGAAAAAAGAAAATATAGTTTATCAAGCTGGGAGGTCCCTGTAATCCCAGCATTCAGGAGGCTGAGATAGGAGGGTTATGACTTTGAGGTGGTGTGGGAATCAGAGGAAGCCCTGAGTGCATGTGTGTTGTTGACATGGACACAGCCTCAGACCTATGGAAGTGGCAAAGCCTTCCTGGGTCAGGCTCAACATGGATCTCCCTTTGGTCCAAGTATAAGTGTCTACAAATTATTGGCCAGGTTTTCATGAAAACTATCAACTGCTGCTTATTCTTCCTGGATTGTTAAAACCTGAGAGTGCTCATCTAGAGAAACAGCCCACCAAGAGTAGCTAACCCCTCCCCACCATGCCTGAGGTTCCCAGGTGTAGAGGGAGTCAATCCCCCCCATCAGAGTGCCAGACACAGCCCACCTGATGCCAGGTTTTCTGTGCCTGTGTCTGGCCTTTCTTCATTCCCTTACCACTCCTACTCAGGCAAGATACTAAGTTTTGCTTGGCACAGCACTATGGAGAAGCCCAGCCTAAGCTACAGAGAAAGTTGCTTCAACAACAAAGCAATATTTCAGGTCATTTTTGTGTGTGTGGTATTTCTCTGTTTTGCTCTTCTAGGCTCTTCTAGTGCTTTGAAGAAGTCTGTGGTGGTATTTTACTTGTACTGAAATGTGATTTTAATTGTATGTTAATAAATAAAGTTGCCTGGGGGTCAGAGCTATTAGAGCCATAGCAAGTGCGTGGCGGTGGTGGTGGCGCACGCCTTTAAGGACCTGGAGGGTGGTACATACAGGCAGTGACGAGGCAGTCACATGTTTGGGTTTACAACCAATGAGAAGGCAGAACAGGAAGACTTTAAAGACATACACACAGGAAGTAGGTCCCTTTCGGAGAGCTCTCTTGGCTGAAGAGGATCCCTGAATCAGGAAGGGTGAGGCTCTTAGCTCTGACCTCTTGGCTTTCTTCTCTGAATCAGCTCTGTGTTTCTTATTTAATAAGACCGTTGGTTACATCTACAGAAGTCCTGTGGAATAATGTTTTTGTACACTGGTTTAATAAAATGCTGATTGGCCAATAGCCAGGCAGGAAGTATAAGCAGGATAAGCAGACAAGGAGAATTCTGGGAAGAGGAAGGCTGAGTCAGGCATCGCCAGCCCGCCGTCCAGAGAGCAGCATGTAATGGCACACAGGTAAAGCCACAGGACACGTGGTGACATATAGATTAACAGAAATGGGCTGAGTTTAAGTATAAGAGCTAGTCAGTAGTTAGCTTGAGCTAATGGCCAAGCAATTTTAATTAACATAAGCCTCTGTGAGCTTACTTGGGTCTGAGCAGCTTCAGACCGGGTGGGACACAGAAAAACTTCAGCTACAAAGAAGACCTGCTTATGCTCAGACCAAACTGGAGAGACAACGGAAACAAAGTGAACACATAATTTCCAGACAAGGGTCCACTGCTCCATTCATTGAAAGAAAGGTGAATGAGTTAGGAACTGTCCACAGATGTAACAGACTTATTGGAATTATATAGATAACGTGGGCTAAAGGAGATGCCTTCAAAACTCTATCTGAGAATTTGAAGTTTGTTGGCTTATAAAAAGAACTTCTTTCCTGAATATGTGGAACACCATAGGTTCAATCCCCCTTGCCTGCAATATTACCTCTAGGAATTTATTCTAATGATAGAGCATATATGCAATAATTTGTTTATATCATTTATAACGGGACACAAAAGCTTTAAAAACAAATGTCAAAATAGGAGATTATGTATTACATTTCCATATGATGGTCATTTTAATATAAGAGGTAAGAAAATTATCATAACACACTTGATGAAAACTATGAGCTACAAAACTTTATAAAATGTGTCTTTTCTCTTTGAAAATAAACAATATTCTATGACAATGACTCTTAAAACTTGATATCCATATGCACATGTAAGTTATTTAATATTTGTTTATCCTTTTCTGTTTTCTTTTGAGACGGCATCTCTATGTGTACCTTAGTACTATGGGATGTTCTGTATGTTAAATGTGTTACTCTGATTGGTTAATAAATAAAACACTGATTGGCCAGTAGCCAGGCAGGAAGTATAGGCGGGACAAGGAGAGGAGAATTCTGGAAAGTGGAAGCAGAGAGACGCTGCCAGCTGCCTTGAGAAGGTGTTAGGATACCGGTAAGCCACGAGCCACGTGGCAACTTATAGATTAATAGAAATGGGTTGATCTCCAACATACAATCCTGCCTCTGCTTCCCCAGTGCTGGTACTGAAAGCATGTACTACACCTAGCATTTTACTTAGTAAAAGATTCTGCTCATCTATCAAGAAAACAATTCAAACCATAACAAAAATCCTAATCATATGATTAGTAATTTAATATTAAAAGTTGGGAAAGAAAAATACTTAAACACTTATAGAAAGCAGTTATTTAAGGAGACAAATAAGTAAATATAATAATATGAAATGTTTGTAATTTGAAGTAGGCTGAAAAGATGCTTATCTGAAGCTGGAGAGAAGTTTTGATAGTTAAAGCACTTGATTTCAATGATGAGGACCAAATATTGGATCTGCTGAGCCCATTTAAAGTCACATGCAACTGGGAAGTCCATGAACTGGGAAGAGAGAAGGGTGAACCTCTGGTAATTCACAGGTCAGTTAGCCTGAGGTATGCTGTGGCAAATAACAAAAGACCCTGTCTTAAAGTTGAAGATAAGGACCAACACCTGAGGTTATCCCCTGACCTCCACATATGTGCTATGGCACAGGAGTGCATACCCTCACACACAAATATGCACACACACATGAAGGACCCTTATCCAATATTAATTATAGATTTTTTTTAAAAAGCTATGTATTCAGGAGAAGCACGAGAGTATAAATAAAATACAAGAAATGGGAAGGTCAAGTGAGATGTTACTTGAGTTTGTTTTTAATTTGCTAAATTTTTTCTAATGGATGTAATAAAACATGAAAGCAGTTTAAAACCTGAGATGATGGAAGAACTGAAAGTTTGATGAGAGATTGAACTACAAAGAAATATGATAAGAATATAGGAGTGAGGAAGAAGTTAAGTGTGGGCATTATCTGCATGTGTGGGGACCAACTGGATGGAGGCTGCATTTATAAGGAGGTCATAGGACAGAGGGAAGGAATACCTCCATAATGTGGAATCCTGAAAGAATACTCTTGTGGTGATACTTTATTTGTATGTCATTAAATAAAGCATGCCTGGAGATCAGAGAAAATAGCAAGCCATTTTAGTAAACATAGAAGTCAGGCAATGGTAGCACATGACCTTAATCTGATCACGTGGCAGGCAGGTCGCTGTGTGTTCAAGGACACATTAGGGAATAGCCAAGCGTGTATCCCCAGTACCAACCATAGAGTCCTGGAGGTCTGTACAGATAGGCATTGACAAGGAAGTGAGGTAGCTGGGCTAAGAACTAATGAGAGAGCAGAACAGCAAGGCAATAAAGGCATGGGTAAGATAGGAAGTAGCCCCTTTTGGTAGATGCAGAGCTGGAGAGGTAAGGTTGGTGGCTATCACTATTTCCCTGATCTCTAAGGCTCTCACCCCTATATTTGGCTCTGTGTTTCTTATTTAATAAGACTGTTTAGAAATTCATCTACATACTCTAGTTGATTCCATGTGAAGCAGAAGATTGAGAACAGCTCCCAAAAGATATCTTGGAGCCAGGAAAAAGTAAGGAATAATTCCACAAAAAGAGAAGTTGAAAATCTCTCAGCTGATGTAGGTCAAAAGGCTAGTATTGTGATAGGCATTCCCAACTTACCCAAAGAAGAATGGAATCTGCCAATCCTGGGGGGGGGGGGGGCTATTTCAATCATGCTTACTTAGACATGACCAGGAATATCAATAAAGTTCATTACCAGCATCATGAAATTTTTAACTTTATATTTATTGAGTTTCATAGATGGCAGAGACATGCCTTCAATAGCAGACCTGGCCCCACCATAACAAAACAATATACATAAAAGTCGTGTGTCACAAAACAGAGCTAAGTAAATCACAGACCATCCACGAAGCTGTATTTGGACACTGAAGTGATGTCTGAATTTGCTGCTTTGCCATAAGATCACTTAACAATAAGTTAATCTTGAGCTTTATATCAGAGGAAGCATAATACAGAGCTAAGACGGAGGACACAGGAAGGCCTCTGAAAGCTGACACACTACATTCTACCGACAGGTAGACACAAATACTCAAGTACACACTGCCTACCTCAGCATTAGGTGCTTATGACAAAGAAACACACTGAATTTGAGCAATAAGCACTGAAGGACCAGGGGCAGGAAGATGTGAACATGTCAACTGATCACTTTCCATTCTTTGTGGAAGTTCAGGATGTTCTTGATTTCCACACCAGCTTCTGTTGCCATCCCCAGTACCAACTGCAGTGGGTATGAGAAATTCCTAGGATGATCCAAACAGACACCAGTAATGATAGTCACCATGCTGCTGGGATCCAATATTCCTGGCCTGGAAGAGTCCAGCAGACTTTTGCAGAACTCAAGAATATTATAGAGGTCCCAGGCATCAGAGTCTTGTCTAGTCATCCTGGGCCTCACCAACCTCTTGGACACAAAGGACTGGCAGAGAATGTACTGGTTCCTTCTCTTTAACTCATCTTCTAGGAAAGTGATGGCAGCCAAGGCTCTGCGATCCTCCCATTTTAGGATGTACAGTGTGTCAACCACAACCTTGGGTATGATAAGAAAAAACTTAGCACTAGTGGCTAGTTTCTGTATCACTGAAAGATGCTCACAGAGGGCCCTGGGGTCAGGGAAGAGGTAAGGGGTCAACACTGACCGAGTCTGGGGACCTCGGAGGGTCTTCTCTAGCAGTGCCACTTCCCTCTGAAGCCAAAGCTGGACTATGTCTTTGGAAAACCTGATTCGTGCAGCTGTTCTTGGAAGCTGCTGTGGTGGATCTTCTGACCTTTCAAGGGTACTGCTCACAAAGACACCCAGCTTAGAATCAAAGCTCAAGAACTGTCCGGGGAGTCTAGTTGCAAAGTGACCAAAATTTCTGAAGAAACAGATACGGACGATAACTTCCTCCTGGTTGGTGAGGGGAGGTGGATCCTGCCCTAAGCCTACCCTATCCTGAGACATTTGAGGAGGAGGCTGCTGGAACATGGCAATGTCCTCAGGGAGCTGAAGGTACTTGGGAGTGTGTGGCCATCGACAGCTCTGCAGCAACTCCTGGAGATGGTGAGACAGGCCAAGACCTGGATGCTGAAGGTCTCCCACTGAGGGCAACAGGTTCAGCAACACACAGAGGTGGTCCCACAAGCTAAATACACTCCTCCAGTGTGACAAGAGGATGCTGTGATTGCTGCGGAGCCAGCTCAGGATCACCTTGATGGTAGGCAACAGTCCCTCTGCAGAAAGAATGTCCAGTTTCCATTGAGTGGTCTGGAGGTTGTTGTCCTGGGAAATGGAGGGCTTCTGCTCCCGAGAGGAATCCGTGTAGAACTCTGCATCAGGAAAGCTGCTCATCTCACCCTCAGTGCACAAAGAACTGCTGACAGCAGGCCTTGGCTCAGACTGAGGTGTCAGAACGTTATGACTAAAGACGGAAGCCAAGGGCAAGCCATGTTTTCCTTGGAGTTTTTGGCTCAAAGGAGCTGGCAGACTAGAGGATAGAGTTGTTTTCAAGAGATCGAGGAGACTGTCGGGAGGTATGTACGACTTCAGTGTGTTTCTAGAATGAGCAGCTTTAGGTTTGGATGTACCTCTGCTTTTCTGAACTGCATCTGAACCCAAGGGGCCAGTCCCTTCTTCATCTGTGGTGTCTGAGTGGGATGCTTCTTCACTGCTTGTGTCTGATTGGACCTGGGAACTTAAGGATGAGCTTTCCTTTTCCTCTGTCTCATCTGAGTCGTAATCAGAATGAAAACCGGCCTCGCTCTCCCTAGAAATGCCAGACCACCCGTGGCTTTTCTGAGGGTGGCTGTTCTGGAGCTCAGGCGATGGAAAATCTTGATGTTGCTTCCCAGGCTCTTTCTCCCAGCATCCATCGCCGGAAGAAGCCACTTCTGGATTCAGCTTCCTCCTCTGCAGCTCAGCCTGGATCCGCGTGTTCACATGTTGTAGTAGATGAGAGAAAAGAGTCAAGGTGAAGATGACAGCTGGTTTTTGCTGTTTGGAGCCTGATTTCCTCAGGCTGTGCACATTCATGAGGCAAAGAACCACCATGTGGAAGATGAGGAAGTCCGGGAGAAACAGATACCCTTTAGGAGGTTTCTCTTCTGGGGAAGCCTGGCATAGGCCCGATTGACAGGGCCGATAGGAAAGACAGAGACGAAAGTCTTCGAGAACCAGTTGGCACAGGGCTATCAGCCTTGCGGCTTTGAATTTCCTCTTAGGCTGCAAGAGACTCTGCAGGTAGAGGAAGCTAACCAGAAGCCTTCTGTTGTCCCAACACTGCCTCTGGCGATGAGTCAGTTTCCTTCCCTGGTACCTCTTCAGACAACTGTACCTCTTTCCGGCATGATCATAGAGCCGTTTGAGGTTCCAAGCGGCTCCTTTAAAAGGCACTTCAGAGTGGAGACAGCGTTGATAGAAGTAGGTGGCTTCGAGGTCATAATACTTACTCCCCACGAGAGCGCCTAGTTGGTTGAAAGGCATTCCCATATGTGGGGCCACTGACAAGGCTCTGTAATAGCATCTCTCTGCCAAGTTCTTGGTGGCCAGGTCTAGGAATTCGTGCTGATAGCGAAACAAGTCCCCCAGGTAGAGCAGGCAGCGATGACAGGCCATGCGGGCCCAGGAAGCCTCTTCTGCTGGTGTGGGTCCCACTTTCTTACAGCCAATCAAGTGGATAGCGCTGTGAGGCCAGTCTATGTAGCTCTGTAACCTCAGCTCATAGTGACCCTGAAGGAACAGGAAGAGATGCTCATAGAACCTGAGGCCAGCCTTCAGGTGAGCCTGTAGGGGCCCTCCCCAGTGTTGGAAAGTGTCCATTTGTTTCTTATTGGTCTTCATGAGCAGCATGACAACATCAGAGTACATTTTCCTCCATAAGAGCTCTTCAGCCTTCCTACCATAAACCACCGGATGTAGGAACATGAGTCTAATGCAGGCTTGCTGAACCATCTCTCTGAGAGCCAGGATGTGTGGCTTGAACACTTCTTTGTGGGCATTTCCTTTTTGAAGGAAGAAATCGAGTCGCTGAGCTGCCAAGCAGACTTCCTGGTAGAGGAGTCTGGCCTTCGGGGTTTCTTCCTGGTTTCTCTCCATGAGGCTGGGTTGTTTTTGAGGGGTGCTTACAGTGTTTCCTGAAAAAAGATTAAAGCAATCTATTAGTGTTCACCCAAAAAGACTGAAAATAATGCCAATGAGGACAAGGAAGTTGGAGGGGTTACTTTTCTTCTCTCACTAATAAAAATATTTAGTTTCGTGGTCTTTACATAGCAACCCTGTTCATAAGTTTATTTCCTCGGAATTCATTCCTATCAACAGTCAAACCTGTGTGAATAAGGGGTTCCTTCCAAATATATCTCTAATAAAGGAAAGTCAGGAGTACATTGAAATTAACCTAAACAGGCAGGCCCCAGCAGCCAGGCAGCAGGTGAGAGACCTGCAGGCAGGTCACCCCACCATCACTGCCACCCACTAGACTCTGTCCCCACAAGACCCACCCAACCCCACTGACTGAAGCATCCTGCCAGTGCACAGCCCTCTCCCACAACATCACCAGACCCTAAGGCACAAGTACCAGCTACACCAGTTAGAAGAACAGATGGGTAAACACCAACGTAAGAATACATTCAACAATATAAAGAGCCACCAGAACCTAGTGACTCTACAACAGCAAGACCTGAACATCCCAACACAGATGAAGCAGAAGAAAATGACCTTAAAAATAACTTTATGAAGATGATAGAGGCCCTGAAAGAGGAAAGGAAAAATTCCCTTAAAGAAATCGAGGAAAAGACCAACAAAAAAAAAGGGAGAAATCAATAAGTCCCTTAAAGAAAGTCAAGAAAAAAACAATCAAACAGGTGGAGGAAACAGTTCAAGACTTGAAAATTGAAATAGAGGGATTAAAGAAAACACAAACTGAGGGAATTCTGAAAACAGAAAATCTGGGTAAGCAAATAAGAAGTATAGATGCAAGCATCTATAGCAGAATACAACAGATGGAAAAGAGAATCTCAATTGTTAAAGATACTACAGAGGAAATAGATTCATTAGTCAAATAAAATGTTAGGTCTAAAAATTCTAAACACAAAACATCCAGGAACTCTGAGACACCATGAGAAGACCAAACCTAAAAATAATAGAGATAGAAGAAGGAGAAGAATTCCAGCTCAAAAGCACAGAAAATATACTCAACAAAATCATAGAAGAAAATTTTTCCTACCTAAAAAAGGACATGCCTATGAAGGTACAAGAAGCTTACAGAACAACAAATAGACTGGACCAGAAGAAAAAGACTTCCTCACAATATAATAATCAAAACACTAAACATACAGAATAAACAGAGAATATTAAGAGCTTCAAAGGAAAAAGGCCAAGTAATATATAAAGGCAGACCTATGAGAATTATACCTGATTTTTCAATGAAGACTCTGAAAGCCAGAAAGTCCTGGACAGATGTTTTGCAGACATTAAGAGATTATGAATGCCAGCCCAGACTACTACACTCAGCAAAACTTTCAATCACCATAGATGGAGAAAACAAGACATCCCATGACAAAGCCAGACTTTAAACAATACCTATCCACAATTCTAGCTCTACAGAAATACTATAAGGAAAATTCTAACCCAAGGAAGTTAGGTGGACCTATGAAAACACAGGCAATAGAGAGTCTCACACCGGCAGGTCCCAAAGAAGGGAAACACACACATACTACCACACAACAACTAAACCAAAAATTAACAGGAATTTACAATCACTGGTCATTAATATCCTTTTATATCAATGGACTCAATTTTCCTATAAAAAGACATAGACTAACAAAACACATATGAACACAGGGGCCATCCTGCTGCTGCTGCATACAAGAAACAAACCTCAAGTTCACAGACAGGCATTACCTCAGAGTAAAGGGTTGGGAAAAGATTTTCCAATCAAATAGACCTAAGAAGCAAGCTGGTGTCGCTATCCTGATATCTAACAAAATAGACTTCAAATTAAAATTAATCAAAAGAGATCGAGAAGAATATTTCATATTCATCACAGGAAAAATCCATCAAGATGAAGTCTCAATTCTGAACATTTATGCCCCAAATACAAGGGAACCCTCATTTGTAAAAGAAACACTACTAAAGCTTAAATCACACATCAGATTACACATACTAATAGTGGGAGACTTGAACACCCCACTCTCATCAATGGGCAGGTCTGCCAGACAAAAACTTAACAGAGAAATAAGGGAACTAACAGATGTTATGACTCAATCTCTCTTATGAACGTTGATGCAAAAATACTCAATAAAATACTTGCAAACTGAATTCAAGAACACATGAAAAAAATCATCCATCATGATTAAGCAGTCTTCAACCCAGAGATGCAGGGATGGTTCAACATACGAAAATCTGTCAATGTAATACACCATATAAACAAACTGGGAAGAAAAACACATGATCATCTCATTAGATGCTGAAAAAGTCTTTGACAAAATCCAACACCCCTTCATGATAAAGGTCTTAGAGAGATCAGGGATACAAGGGACATATCTAAACATAATAAAAGCAATATACAGCAAGCCAATTGCTAACATCAAATTAAATGGAGAGAAACAAAGCAATTCCACTAAAATCAGGAGCAAGAAAAAGCTGTCCACTCACTCCATATCTACTTAATATAGTACTCAAAGTTCTAGCCAGAGCAATAAGACATCAAAAGTAGATCAAGGGGATACAAATTGGAAAGGAAGAAGTCAAACTTTGGCTATTTGCTGACGATGTGATAGTATACGTAAGTGACCCCAAAAATTCTAGCAGGGAACTCCTACAACTGAAAAATACCTTCACACCTTCAGTAATTGGCAGGATACAAGATTAACTCAAAAAAATTAAATAAAGTAGCTCTCCTATATATAAATGGTAAACAGGCTGAGAAAATATCAGAGAAACAACATCCTTTACAATAGGCTCAAATAACATAAAATATCTTGGGTTAACTCTAACCAAACAAGTGAAAGACCTGTATTACAAGAACTTTAAGTCATTAAAGAAAGAAACTGAAGAAGAAATCAGAAAGTGGAAAAGTCTCCCTTGTTCATGGATAGGTAGGATTAACATAGTAAAAATGGCAGTCTTATCAAAAGCAATTTACACACTGCAATCCTCATCAAAATCCCAACACAATTCTTCACAGACCTCAAAAGAATAATACTCAACTCCATATGGAAAAATAAAAAACCCAGGATAACTAAAACAATCCTATACAATAAAGAAACTTCTAGAGGTATCACCATCCCTGTCTTCAAGTTCTACTATAGAGCTATAGTAATAATAACAGCTTGGTATTGGCATTAAAAACAGGCTGGTAGATAAATGGAACCAAATCGAAAACCCTGACATAAATCCACAAACCTGTGAATATCTGATTTTTGACAAAGAAGCCAAATCTATACAATACAAAAAAGAAAGGATCTTCAACAAATGGTGCTGGCATAACTGGATGTCATTGTTGTCTATCAGCTGCATGTAAAAGAATGCAAATAGATTCATATCAATCGCCCTGCACAAAACTCAAATCCAAGTGGATCCAAGACCTCAACATAAAACAAGTTACATCGAAGAGAAAGTGGGAAGTAGCTTTGAACATACTGGCAGAGGAGACCACTTTCTAAGTATAACACCAGTAGTACAGACACTGAGGCCAACAATTAATAAATGAGACCTTCTGAAACTGAAAAGCTTATGTAAGGCAAAGGACACTGTCAATAAGACAAAACAGCAGCCTATAGAATAGGAAAAGATCTTCATCAACCCCACATCTGACAGAGGGCTGATCTCCAAAATATATAATGAACTCAAGAAGCTAGACCTCAAAATACCAAATAATTCAATTTTAAAAATGAGTTACAGATCTAAACTGAGAATTCTCAACAGAAGAATCTCAAATGGCCGAAATACACCTAAAGAATTGTTCGACCTCCTTAGTTATCAGGGAAATGCAAATCAAAACAACTCTGAGACAGATAGATAGATAGATAGATAGATAGATAGAACCTGGAAACAACCTAGATACTCCTTAACTGAAGAATGGTTAAGGAAAATGTGGTACATTTACACAATAGACTATTACTCAGTTGTAAAAAAAAAAAAACAATGATATTATGAAATTTGCAGGCAAATGGATGGAACTAGAAAAAAATCATCCTGAGTGACCCCCACCCAGAAAAACAAACATGTATGTACTCACTCATAAGTGGATATTAGGGTAAAGTACAAGATAACCAACCTACAATCCACAACCCAAGAGAGGCTAGAAAACAAACAGAGCCCTAAGAGGGATGCATAAATTTCCCTGGGAAGGGGAAATAGTTAACCTGGTGGTTGGTGGGGAGGGTGGGAATTTGAGGATTTGGGTTGGGCAGGCTAGGTGCAGGAAGTGGGTTGGGGGGACAATGGAGCAGGGGATGTTTTGATGGGAGGAGCATTTTGGGTTTAGGAAGAAACTTGGCACCAGGAATCCTCAAGGATGACCCCAGTTAAGACTCCTAGCAATAGTTGAGTGGATGCCTGAACTGACCATCTACTATAATCAGATTGGTAACTACCCTAATTATCATCAGAGAGCCTTTATCCAGTAACTGATGGAAGCAGATACAGAGATCCTCAACCAGGCACTGGGCTGAGCTCTGGGAGTTCTCCTGAAGAAAGGGAAGTGGGATTGTACAAGCCAGGGGAACCAAGGTCATGATGGGGGAACCCACAGAGACAGCTGACCTGAGCACAAGGGAGCTCATGGACTCTGGACCAAAAGTTCATGAGACTGCATGGGACTGACCTAGGCCCTCTGCACGTGTGTGACAGTTGTGTACCTTGGGCTGTTTGTAAGGCTCCTAGCAGTGAGATCAGGACCTGTCCCTGGCTCTTGAGCTGGCTTTTGGGAACCTGTTCCCCATGCTGGATTACCCTTCCCAGCTTTTATACAGGGGGAGGAGCTCAGTACTCCCTTAACTTGATGTGCCGTGCTTTGTTCAAGCCCATGAGAGGTTAGGAAGGGGGGTAGATGTTGCAGGGGTGGGGAACAGGAGGAGAGGAGGTAGGAGAAACTATGGTCTGTATTAAAATAAATGAAAAAAATTAATGAAAT